GGGGGGGGGGGGGGGCGCAGCGGGGATGGCGGGGGGAGGGATGCCCTTACCCTCTCGAGGGCGAGGGGCGGAGGTGGCCCTCAAGTACGGGGGCGACGTGGTCGGCGGAAAGTCTGCAGGAGGGGGTGGAGAGGAGTCGCCGAAAGAGAAGGAGGAGCAGGACGAGGACGAGGCGCAGCTGGACCCGGAAATTCTCGCGCTGATCGAGAAGGAGGTCGGGGGCGCTGCAGGAGGAGGAGGAGGCGGCGGCGGCGCTGGAGGTACCGTACACCACCTTGGTCGGAGGAGAATAAGAATATTCGGTTTATGTTATTTTTTGCTCGAAGTTTTTCGAGTTGATGCATAAAGGGCTTTTGTCCTCGTTGCAGCCAGTTTCGGCCGGTAAATTTCGTTATCGGTGGTTTGCTCTACTACGTTCGCACCGGCGTATGGTTCAGTAACAAAAGTGTTTTTTGGTGCGTGTTGCTTTTCGACTTGGTTGTTTGTTGTTGGAACCGACGCAGGCAGCGATGACGACAGCTCTGACGAGGAGTCCGACTTCACAGACGATGGCGAGGACGAAGACAATGGGGGGGACGACGACTCGGACCACAAGAACGCGGATGGTGAGCCCCTCCCTGTAGGCATTTCGATTTTTGGTTTCTCTCGCTTACGGTGATGGGTTGCTTGATTGCCTGCCTCGAGAGATAGCTGAACGAGGCAGGAATTTTAGTGATTACCCACATCTGCTGGACGGCTGTGTTTTTTTTTCGCCATCACCGCATAATGCGAACGTGTTTGAGACCTCCATTGCACTCCCCTCTCTTTTCTTTCCCTCGCGCGTTTCCCGGTGTACACCACGTGCCGCTCGCGTGCGCCCAATCCCACACCCGCCGCCGACCGTTTTTCTGTGTGCGCGTACACGTGTACTTAGATTTAGCCGCGCAAGCGCTTTCGGCGGCCCAGGACCTTTTCGCCGAGGACTACGGCATCTCCGAGAAGCGCAGCGGCTACAGCTACTCCCGCCTGCTGCGCTACGAACGGCGCCACCGCGCCCTACACCGGGCCAACCGGTGTGTGTGTGTGTGTGTGTGTGGTGTCTTCGCGTTAAAGACCGTTCCGACATCCCTCTTATCCAGTAACTCTCTCTGTCCGTAGCAGTGCGGAGTGCCCTGTACACAGCAGCACCATTGGGTAGCTTTATTTCTTGCTGCCGTCGCGTTGAGCTCTTGGGCGAGGACGATAGAGACGGGGCTGCGAGTGCTGTCCAAGAGGTTGGGTTGCGTCTCTGCCGTGCGGGGAATGCGCGCCCCCCCCGTTTTTTGTAGGCAAACCCTCCGGGGGTGCCTCGAAGTCGCTTGAAACACCGCCATCTCGCGACCCGACGACCTCTAGACTGCAGTCGTTGGTCCGATATACAAGCAAGAGGGTGGCGTGACAAAGCGACCATCTTGTATCGTAGCCCCCTCGTGTACCGGAATAAGAGGGTACCCAACTACACTAGATACATGTTATAGCGGGTCGAGTCCGTTCGTTACAACCGATTGCGACCCTCTTTCACCGGAGCCCCCTCGTCTGAGGTACTGCTATATCGCAGCCCCGACTGCTGTGCAGGGATTGAAAGCACAGCAGCGGTTTATTCGATAACCGTCATTAGTCGCTGCCCTCCGCCCGCCCAAGGCCCATCCCTGCGGGAATGGTAGCGGTGAAAAACTTTGTCTCCCACCAGCCCGTGCCTCGTGACACGTTCTTGGAGTCTCGCAGCGGTAGTTCTTCTTTGCGGCAACAACATCAAATTTGTGTGCAGTGTTGTAACGACAAGATCGTGCGCAAGGCGCGCGGCAAACCACACCCTCATGGTGCGGTGCGGTGCGGTGCGTTGCTTGTTTGCGTGTCCGTGCACGCGGCGCAGGATGGCCGAGGTGGACGCGGCAAAGAAGCGCAAGAAGCCCAAGAAGAAGGCCGACGGCACCCCGGTGGAGGAGGAGAACGGTAAGGATGAGGGTGGCGGCCCCGGTGCGGGCAGCGGGCCTTGGGGGTGGTCCGCGTCCCGAGGAAGGGATCTCTCGCTCGCTCGCTCCCTCTCTTGCTTTCTCTCTCTCTCTCTCTCTCTCTCTCTCTCTGTATATATATATATATCCTCGTCTCTCTCCGTGCGAGTCGGTGCCTCCGTTGTTGCGCTTGTTGCGTCAGTCAGTCAGTCAGTCAGTCAGTCAGTCAGTCAGTCACAACGGTTGTTGGCGTTCCAACTCCTTGTAGTGTAGTGTAGTGTCGTGTAGCCCCTAGCGTGTAGAGGAGGTATTTTCTCTCTTTACACGTGTACTTCCCGTTCCGCAGGCGGTCATGCTGCGTGTGAGCGTGAATCCATACATAACCGATATCCGAGTATGTAGCTTGTTTTCTCTCTGTTTTTCCGTGGATCGAGCAACCCTCACCATCCTGGCCTTTCCTTTCGCTTCCGCCCGCGCGTCTTATGCTGCTGGGTGCGATGCCAGGCTCGTCGCGCCCGTACCTCGGCTCCTCCCTGCGCGACAGCCCCACCTACGAAGACTTCGGCGACCCGCTAGAAGCTCGGAGGCAGAAGCGGCGGGAGGATCGGGAGCGGGCGGGGGGCTCCGCGAGAGATGCCGCGGGGAACGGGGGCGGGCGGGGGCGGCAGTACATCTCATCGTTCGAGATCTCCGACAGCAAGGTGTGATGTTTTTGTGAGTGTGTGTGTGTGTGTGTGTCTTTTTGATATTAGCATCGACCGCGCTAACCACCTGTGTGTGCGTGTTTGTGTTTGTGTGTTAATTTCATTAGCTTCGACCGCGCTAGCCGGCTGGCCAATGCAAAATACGTTCGTGTGTGTGTGTGCGTTTAATTCATTAGTATCGACCGCGCTAGCCGGCTGGCCAATGCAAAATACGTTTTTGTGTGTGTGTGCGTTTAATTCATTAGCATCGACCGCGCTAGCTGGCTGACCAACAAAAATACGACAGTGTCTGTGTGTTTTAATGGTCCCCGAGCTTCCTCGTGTTGGTTGTTTTCTGTGTGTGTTGATGCGTTGTGTGGTGCGGTCAACCCTGGCCCGATTGGCGCACCACGCAACAAAAGTCCAGACACGGTCTTCACGTGAACCAATTTTGTCATCGCAGACGGCAGGTTGCTGCTTTGTTGACTTGCCCGCCGAACCCGAGAGTTCTTAGCACGACTTTCGAAGCCCCAACTCCTCCTCAACATACGCGAGTGTTTGGTCCGGGTGGGAAGCGAGCTACCAAGATACTCTGTTCATCCCAGGCGGTCCATTTTCACCTTCGCAAGAGCCCCCTCCCCCCCCCCCCCCCCCCCCCCCCCCCCACCCCCCCCCCCCCGGCTCCCGCTGGTGCCCTCCTTCGCTGCTGTTCGCCTCCCATACAGTATGCCACCCCTCCNCCCCCCCCCCCCCCCCCCCCCCCCGCGCGCCCACCGCACGAAACCCCCTCCTAAAAGCCGTTCGTTCGTCGCTGGCATCGTGACGACCTGATTTTTCTTTGCTCACCGTCAGGCTGGCGGCGGCAAGAGCGGTAGCGGTAGCGACGGGTCTCTGCTCGGTTCGGAGAGCGAGGGAGACGAGGGGGGCGGGAGCGGCGGAACTCACCTGATTCTCCTTGAGAACTTCTTCCCCACACTAGCGGACACGTTGCGCAGACACCTAGAGGTACACATTTCTTAAGGGCGCGGGGGGGGGGGGGGGG